TTATTATTATTATTATTATTATTATTATTATTATTATTATTATTATTAAATAGTTAATCCAGTTGCACCTGGAAACCTTCCCACAAATGCTTGTCAACCTGTGTTACTGAACATTCCATCTTGCTTGCACCATAACTCAAAAAGCACAGCTTCCTCCTCCTGGCAACTGCTGAGATTTACAGCTTGCATTCTCTGTATTTTTGTTTGTTTGTTGTTTTTCAAACTCTAACAAAATAGTCCTTGAGATTAGGTCTGTGGGGGGGGGGTATTGTTTGTTGGGTTTTTTGGGGGGGGGGTCCTGTCTTTTTGGGGAAAAGGGAGCAGGGGCATTTTCTCACTACATAAGCCCTGAATGGCCTGAAACTCCCTATATAGACTGGGGTGTCATCACAGAGATCCACCTGCCTCTGGCTCCCAAGTGCTGGAACTCAAGGTGTGTGCCACCATGCCTAGTATGAATCTGATATTAAATTCTTTTGTTAACAAGATTGAGTCCATCAGAGAACCTGGAGTTTCCACATGATGCTACTACAAGAAAGAAAGAGACAGACTATGAGTCTTTCGCTCTCTGCTTTGTCCTAATTATGAATAAATCCATTTTCCTTTACCAATTTTTATTGCTTAATTCCTTTTGAAATACAGAGAAAAAGTAACAGCCTTAAGTGTTTTTTTTTTGGGGGGGGAGGTATTGGGGTTTTGCTTGTTTGTTTTTTTGTTTTGTATTTTGGGTTCCCCCCCTCCCTTTGTTTTGTTTTTTACTTTTAAAGGTAGCTGGAACACAGTCTCACACAGGGTAGCATGAAACCTACCAGGCTAGCTCCAAACTCATGGGCAGTGTACTACTTTAACCTCCCAAGTTGCTTGGATCACAGGCAGGCGCCATCATGCCTGGTCAGTGGCAGCCATTTGAGCCTGGGTGCTGGGCAACAATAAAGCAAAATGCTTTCAGTCCATAAAAATCCCTCAGGTCTTAACTGTTTCAGTATTGCTCAAAAGTCCAGTCCAAAGACTTTCCCAAAACAGCTCTA